CATCAATTTGAAAAGTTGCTTTCTTCTAAAATGTTATTTCTTTGGTTTAAGTATTAAGTACGTATTAGGGATGCCAGTCCCGGGATCCCGGGGTTCCAGTATTTTTGTGGTTCCGAAAATCCCTTGGATTTGTCACCATGTATTTCGACCCGCTAAATTCGAATCTGAGATCCGTTTGACTCGTACACCCTCAAAATTTCGATTAAATTGCGAAAAAAAAAATGGCAAAAAAGCGCCATTCGCCATTTCTTTATGGAGTAGAATAAACATGTTTAGAGAATTTGTTTTTGTATATTTTTGTTTATTGTTTTTTTTTTATTAATGATTAATTTCAAAAGTACCTGGTATATGCATTGTTATTTGTGATGTATGCGTTCCTCAATCACATGTTTTTTTTTGTTTAGATACAATTTAAAAAATATATTGCTTTTAGATTTGTCCGTATTAATAAAATTACGTGAGTTTTACAATCAGTATATCGTAAAATTTAAATAGTTTTATTTCAGGGTATGTTTAAATACTTTCAGTTATTCGATTTTACCCATATTCACAAAAGTTATATCTCAATGTTAATCTCGGGATAAATCACGGGATCCCGGGATTACTTAAAAAATATTCCGAAATCCCGGGCTCACAATTTTCCGCATATTTTGGCATCTCTAGTACGAATATTGCAAGTATTTCAACAAGTATGAAAATACTCGCACACAAAAATTGAGAAAATTTTGAAAACTCTAAGAACAAGTAAGTATAAAATAAGGAGAAGGATTCGTAAATTGATTTTGTCATCACGATTTTCCAGTTGATTGACTTATAAATTTCCTGTTCTAACACCCGCGCTCGATAAGCTTTCGATTGACGGTAATTTTTCGCTGTAAGAATGTCAGCCAGACAAAATGTATGTAATATGTAATATAGTGCTATTCATTCACACGAGTGAAGTATGTAGGTATGTTTAAAATAGTGTACTTGTATGCGTATTCTTAGATACATATGTATATCCATATGTTCATACATCCTTCCAAGCCCACACATCTATGCTATTTATTCGACTATCTGTATATAGCACCTATGTACATACGTGATTCTAGTTGTTGTTGTGAACTTATATGTACCTGTGTTGTTCAACAAGTTAAATTGAAGCATTGAAAAATTTCTATGAATTGCTGTTGTTGACACCTGGCTGCTTAAAGGTTAAGTGACAACGTTAACACGTCTGTCCAAGCATTTACAATTTACAACGCATAACTACATGAATAGAGATGCACATACATACATATGTATGTATGCATGTATGTATGTATGTACGAAGCTCATGTGATTTTAAATTATTATTGGTTTTCCATTTCAATACTATGTACATTAGTAGATGTTTTTCACAACGTTAGCGTCAAGGTTAATGACCAAAAATAAAATTTTCAGACACTATTTCATTTACACTTGTCCATTGTGAATGTCCATTGTGAATGTCCATTGTGAAGTCGTAGACCTTACAGTATGCAGTGACAATGGAAGTTTAAAAATTTATATAGGAATGCTTTCAAATGTTGAAAGGCGAAAAATCTGAAATCTATCAAATATGTATCCCTGCAAACATTGAGGTTAGTTATCGATTAGAGAATGATTGGAGAACTAGCCACATTTTCCAAATCTCAAACGTTAGAGAACGACTCGAAAAACTATCGAGACTCGTAGCGATCTTAACAAAAATGGAACATAGTTTTCGATTCGAGAAAATATTAATTCTCTAATCGAATTCTAATGCTGATCTCTAATTGGATTCGAATGTGAATTTCAAACTGCTGCTTTGCTTTATTAAATAAAACGCTTGTTTGTTTGTAAAATTTGTATTAAATGTATTTGCAATAAAATAATAATGA